CCCTGGCCCGGCCCCACCAGCTCTCTGAGGTGCCGAGCTGACCGCCACCGGGCCTCGCAGAGCCATGCCGCCCACCTCGCTGGCTGGTCCTGGTCCCGGCCCTGGGCCCGGCCCGGCCTGGGATGCCTCGGCTTTGACCCGCCCTGAGCCGGCGGGTCAGCTGGTCACTTCGTTCCCCCGTGGCAGGATGGGCTGTATCGTTTGCGAGACCCAGGGTGAAAGGAAGAGGCAGGGTCCCCGGTCACAACGAGGAAGAATTTCAAGACGGCGTCCGCAGAGGGCTGAGAGAGCTGGCCCTGCCGCGAGGCCCCACCGGCAGAGCGGGGCGGGCTCCGGAGGGTTCCGGCCGGCGCTTGGACGTCCGGACACAGGCGCCACAGCCTCGCTTCTGCCCGCCGGTCAGGACGAGCCCCGGGCCCGGGAGACGAGGAGCTGAACCATAGGCACATGCGACCAAGGCGCCCCTGAAGCCGGGCCGGGCCTGGGCGTGGTGCCCGGCGGCCACGTCATCGATGCCATCGCCGCGGACGTCGGTGTAGGCTGCCCTCCTTCACGGGAAGGGCACGAGATCATCAGGGTCCTCCTGCGCGCCCAGCGTCCCTGCGTTGTTATATAGGCTGCTGGGTCTAAGAAACAACAAAAAAGCCAACCCGCCTCTACCGGCCACCTCCAGGCTCTGAGCTCTACTTATTTTTGTAATGCGGTTTAATTACTGCTTTTAGAGAGAGGGGAAAGGAGACAGAGAGAGAGAAACAGTGACCTGTCTTTCCACTATTTGTACGCTCACTGGCCGAGTCCAGGGTGTTCCCTGCCGGGGGACCGAATCCACGACCCTCGTGTACCAGGACGATGCTCCCGCCAAGAGAGTGGCCGGCCAGGGCTAGGTTCTGAATTCCTTATTGATGTGGACATACATTTCAAAAGAGTGTTTCCGACCGTGCCAGTGAATGAGTGTGAGATTTGGGGGCAGGCGAGAGGACACCGTGGACCCTCCTAGCCCTCGCTCACATGCCACTGTCCTCGCGGGTGGTCCTGCTGCCCCCACGGAGAACGCCCCACCGGGCGACCCCCACGACCTCTGATCCAGCCAGGGCGGTTTTGAGGCAGGAGGCAGTCAGCAGGGAGGAAACCCTAGACGCGCCCCAGGCCTAAGACAAAGGACAGTGACACAGCACAGAGACCCTGTCCTAAAACCGGTTCCTCAGGACTGAGAACACTCTAGAGGGGCCCCAGGGCTAAGACAAAGGACGATGACACCGGACAGAGACCCTGTCCTAAGACCGGTTGCTCCTGTTTTCCGGAAAAGCGCTGACTCACGGTGATTCGGAACTGGGCCTGCGCAGAGGAGGCTCCAGGGCCCGGGCCTCGTGGTAACAGCGTTGGAACAAATTAGCCTGCGGCCAATCAGGGAACATCACGGGAGGCCGCATGCGCAGTCGCTTAAAAGTAGCATAGCTGCTCGCACGGACGCAGTAAAAGCCCGCCAAAGCCAGCCAGGAAGTACCCGCCCTGTAGGGAAGGAAGCCTCCGGCCCGAGGCCCCTCTCTGCCCGGAGCCGGCAGCTCCCGGGCTCTGTGGCGCGTCCTGTTGCTCCATCGGCTTGCTCTCGCCATACACCCTGTTGTGGGTTGGTGGCTCGATTCCTTGCTCGCGGTCACTAAGAGCCCGGTTACCTGTGCCCGCCTGCGACAGCCTGGCCGGACGGGGACCCCTCTGAGTGCCCTGCCCTGTGCCTCGGGAAAGCAGGCGGGCGATAGGGAGCCCCAAAGGCGTCCGCTTCTCCCCGATGCTTCCTGGCACGATCCAGTCTCACCGAAGAGCGAGTTAGTGCTTAAGAAACATAGAATAAAAACTTCCAGAACGCTCAGACAGGCATGGCCTGAATAAAAAGAGACTCCACGTGAGGTGTGAAGGCCGTGCTGGATTCCCAGAGACCGGAAGGCGGAGCGGAGATCCTCCGAGTGGTGGTGTTGGCGCCCGAAGCCTTCCACCGGGTGTGTGTCCACGTTTCTCGCGGAGCGAACAGCACTTGCTGAGTCTAATTATTACCTCCCTTGGAGACTAAAGGGCATCATTATCTTGAGCGCCAAGGGTGGTTGCAGGAGGCTGGAATAAACAGAATATTCCTGGAAACCGCATGTCCCCGGCAGCGCACCCCAAGGCTGCTTCTCCTTCCTAAACAACAGGGAAGGGGAACGCCTACCGTGGGGGCGCTGAGTTCACAGGGCTTCTGTTTCACGCAAAAATATTATGCAGAAGCGTTTTCTTTGCTGCCGCCCATCCCTCCTCCTTGCCTCTGATCCAGGGCATCTTCAGGGTGTTCGGACGCGTCCTTCCTCTCCCAGCGACTCTGATTTTTAGACCCGGAAAATGTAATTTGGGTTAAAACTCGATGGGGAGTCGCTGGCGCGGACGGGTTGCCGTGGAGATGGGGCGGGGAGGGGAGGCACGGGTGGCGGGTTTGGGTATTTGCAGAGCCTCCGGGCCGGGCTTTGTCTGAGCGGCAGCTGGTGGGCCTCCTCTTTCCAGCCCCCCCACCTGCTGCCTCCCTGAATCCCTGCCCTGTGCTGCGATTAGCGGAGCAGGGCATTTCCCGGGGCGACGCGGGCACGTCCTTGCTAACAGAACCCGGGCTCTGCCCGATGGCGGAGCAGCCGCATGCTTCCTGCGGCAGGCTGTGCCCTTCCCGGCCCGGGAGGGGGGCCCCGGCTGCTCTCTGCTGAACGCAGGGATTTTGGTTCCCTGCCGGTGACAGGCCGGCCAGGCTGAGGGACGGTTCTGGCCAATGGGAGTGGGAGGAGCTCTGCCAGGGGCCCCGGACACCCTGTCCCCTATGGCTGGGAGAGGGCAGGTGAGGAAACGCTCACTTATGACTCTAGAGGCTGAGGATTTGAAGCTTAGAACCGCGGGCAACGCCTCACAGCCGTGCAGGGAGAGCCACGTTTCGAGAGCCACGCAGAGACGGGGGACGGTGGACGCGCGAGATGCCGGGGTACCCTGTCCCCTCATCGCCAAACTGAGTCCCCCCGAAAGTCGCATGTTGAAGTCCTACGCCTTCGTGCCTCAGAATGTAATCATGTTGGGGAGCAAGGTCTTTAAGCAGATCATCAAGTTCAAATGAGGCCTTTAGGGACCCTATCCGTAATGAGGACGAAGGTTGTAATCAATAACCAATGAATTGTAATCAATAACTCACAATCCAATATGACTGGGTCTCCTTAGAAGAAGAGGCAATGTAGACCCAGACATGTGCACACACAGGGGTGGCCACGGGAGGGCCGAGGGAGGAGAGAGAGGAGAACACGCCCCGGAGACCGGCCTCAGAACGAAACCAGTCCTGCCAACGCCTTGACCCAGGACTTCCGGCCTCTGGGGTCGTGAGGAATCGATCTCTGCCGTTCGAGCGGCCCCGTCGCTGGGACTTGGCGACGGCAGCCCCCGGAAACGAATGCATCGCCGAAGCCCACCGTTCAGGCTTGGGAAGCAAGTGGCACATCATCCCTGCCTCGAATGGCTTCGGCGATAAGGAAGAAATTGATAAGATGGCACAGGGGAGGCTGGAAACGCGGCAGCCAGGGTGGCTTCGGGTGCTGGGCACTGTCACCAGAGACCCAGGTCCATCCTCTCACCCCCCACCTGGGCCTCCTGCTGAAGCCTTGGGCTGGCTCCTCATGGTGCCAGGGTGGCTGCCACGGCTCCAGCCGCCTCCCGCAGGAGGCCCTGCGTGCAGAGGCAGGAATGAGGTATTGGAACATACACACTTGTGTGTGAGGCAGGGAAGCCCTCCCGACGTGCCTCCTTGGCCGGAGCTGCACCCCATGCGCGTTGCGAACCAACAGCTGGCAACGCTGAGCGTTGAATGACTGGGATCGGACCGGCCTGGGAAGAGCCAATTTTCAGGCACACGCAGCTGCCAACAACTGGGTAAGCGCAGCAGCTGAGAAGGGGGACAGAAACGGCGCTCAGCACGCAGGGTCTGCCCCCACCCGCGTGCCCGACCGTCACCAAGCCTAGTGCTCCCACCGCCCAGGAGCTCCCGAGTTCACCAGCCTCCCTGCATCCCCTCTTCCAAGCCACGCCCTCCCGTGCTGGGCCCCTCGCGGTGGCCTCCCGGCAGCCTCACCTGCCCTCACCCTGGTCCCTTCTTCCGGTCTCTCCTCCGAACCGTAGCCTGACTGGTCTTTGGCAAATGCAAACCTCCTCTCGCCTCACCTTAACTCGAAATGCTGCTGTGGCTCCGGTGGCTTGGACGGAAGCCAGGTTTCCTCCGCCCCCTCCTCCCCGGGGGGCTCTGCCCGCCTGCCCGGCTGCCCCTGGCCTCTCCACGGCCGCCGTCCTTCCTGCCCCGCCAGCTCACGCGCCGCTCTGCCGCGGCGGCGTTCCGGCGCATGACACTCCCTCTCCCGAGGACCGTGTCCCCTGCTCTGCACCCGGCAGATGTGTCCCCACCCTTTGGGTCTTTGTCGTCACTTTCCCAGGGATCCCCCCACCCGCCCTGTCTTGCCCGACGAGGCCGAGCTCATCTGCGCTGGGTAGGCCGCCCCCCTCGGAGGCCGCGACATGGCTGGATCACTCCTGGGCTCCCCGGTGCCCGGCGCGAGGCTGTCCTCCCTCCTGCGAACCGACCGGCAGGTCTCAGCCTCCACTAACCTTCGAGGGGCTGCGTCAGGTCGCCGGCTCCCCTCCCTCTGCACAACACCCGTGTCCCGCCCAGCACCCCGAGTCAGGGCTTAAACCTTTGGGGAGCAATCGAGCAAATAAAATCCGATTATGGCCCAGGTGAACGCGGGCAGGCCGCCGCGCTGCGCGGGCGGGTGACTTGGGAGGCTACTCGCTGTCTTTGAAAGACTCGAAACAACCCGACATGCTCAGAGGGAAACGCGAAGGACGCAGGATACGGCTACTGGAGGGCATGTTACGTGACAATTTTTACAACAGTCACGATTATACAGCAAGTTGCGCGCGTGCTTATAAAATTGAGTGAGAGAATGAGAGATAGCATGGGAGCGTCCAGCAACGTCTTTGTCTGGCTTATGCCCCGCCCCCTGCCCGCGGACGGCTCTGTGTCCCAGCCTGGCCACCCCCGCTGTCCTCAGAGCTTCGGCTTCAACGTCACTCCTCGGGGTGGCTCCCTGAAGCCCAAACCGTGTGCCTGCCTGTAACTTCTCTGGGCTCCCCGCCCCCGCTCGCCCCAACCAACACGTCATTGTCCCAGCTGGACTGTGACCCTGGGGACAGGCCGTCTTCCTCGTTGCTCCATGTCCGTCACCGGGCACGGAGCTGGCACAAGGCGAGGCGAGCATGGGAGTGTCCCGTGTGTGGCTGGGTGGCTCAAACAACAGAAATCCACTCCCTCAAGGTTCTCGGGGCCCGAAGTCCAACACCAGGTGTCGGCGGAGCCAGGCTTCCTCCGAAACCTCCGGGGACTCGACCGCCCCTCCCGGCGTCCAGCGGGGGCCAGCGTGCCCGGGCATGAGGGCGCGTGGCTCCAGGCTCTGCCTCACTGTCACCTGGCGCTCCCCGTGTGTCTGCATGCCCCCTCCCACGGCGGTGGGTGTCTCTGGGTCTCTTCTTATAAGGACACCGGTCACGGTGACTAGGGCTCTCCCATTAATCTGATCAAAGGCCCTCTATGCAGAGGCGGCCACGCTCACAGGCACCGGGCGAGAGGACAAGGACCTACCTTTCTTGGGGACACAGTCCCGCCCCTCACGTGAGCAAGGGAGGAGGAAGCGAAGACGGTGCGCAATCCGGGGCTTGCGAAGCTGCGAGTCGCTGCCTAACCCCACGCCGCCCCCTGCGCCCACCTGTCTGGCACTCAGGCCCTGTCGCCCGGTCCTCATGGGGACCCAAGAAGGCTGCGCAGGGCAGGCATGCAGCCCCAGACCCCTGAGCAAGCCCCTCCAGGCCACTGCCCGGCTCTCTGTCTCGGCAGCTCCCCAGGCGCCTGTGCGTGTGGCCGCTGCGCGGACCGGTGCGTGCAGGGTGCACCACGCCGGTTCCCGCTCACACCCAGAAGCCCGCTGACCGCCCGACCGAGCCCAGTGGGCTGCCGCCTCCCTGGGGGTCTGGGCGGGGCTCCTGCCGCTGTGCCTCCCCGCACCTGCTCACCCCCCCGGAGACGGCAAGCGCTCACACGCAGGCCATCACCAGCCTCTCGAGCAGGTGCGGAGCGGGGGCGGCGGGGGTGGGCGTGCGCACACACGTGTGGGTGAATGCCTGTCCCGGAGGGGGCTCGGGTCCCCTGTGTGTTGTCACTAGGGCGGGGCCGGGGAGAGACGCGAACACAGCCTGCCCTGCCCACCCCTTGGAGACCTTCTGCGACTCCACTGTCATCTCCTCCCTGTTGCCAGATCTCACCAAGGTGGGGCACGCAGGGACACAGAGAGGGTCAGAGGGACAGGCGGGGGGAGGCAGGCAGGCAGCAAGGGCTGGTGGCTGGGAGGAGGGCCCGCCCCCTGGCAGGCGGCGTGACCCGCCACCCCGCTTGAGGCGCCACAGCTCCGCCCGCTCTAATAAACTCGAAACTCCAGTGACTGGAGCGAAGATTTCAGATTAACATGTAAATTAACGCCGGACTGAAATCTGGAGGCCCGGGTCGCTGACGGGGACTCCGTTCACTTGTTCTGTGACCTGGGGCGGAAATCTGAAAGGATCTTTTCTCATCAAGCCGCCTCCCCGCAGCCCCCGCCCAGGGGAGGTCAGAGGGACAGACCCGCAGGACGTCACCCTCCCGGCCTGTCCTGAAAGCCGCCCTCCATGGGGCGGGGTCGGCCTTCCACCTGAGGTGTTTGGCTGGACCGGCGAGCGTGGCCTCTCTCCACCCCGGGGGCTGGGGCCTCTGGTGCCAGAGGAGAGAGAGGCAGGCCCCCCCCACTACCACCCTACCCTGCCGCGGAGCTTGGGGACATTGATGACGCTGCCATGTGCTCAGTCGCTGCAGGGGAGCCTCGTCAAGGCCTGGAGAGCGTGGAGCGGCACCCCCCGCCCCCGCCCCGACTCCCTGGGTTTGGGACGCAGGCCTGCAGGCCGGGCTGCCAGATGCTCGGATCCAGGTTCCAGGGTGGGTCACCGAGTCAAGAGCCCGGCGGTCCCAGCGGGCGGGGAAGCGGCCCACTGGGTGGCTGCCTGCCGGTTCCGGGGGCCTCGCTGTCCCTCGTTCTCCCCGCGTGTGACGAGAACAGAACTTAGCGTAGAGCGGCTGGTGAAACAACGCGCGGCCGGGCGGCACCTGCGGCCAGGCCCCGCCTGTCCCCCAGCTCCCGGCCTCCGAGCGCCGCATGCCAGCTCCAGCTGTTCCAGGACGGGCCGAGGGCTGGCCAGAGCACCGAACCACCCAGGCCCCGCCCTGCTCTTGGGGACCCCGCACACCAGCCTGCCTGCCTTCCCTCTCAGGCCAGTGCGGCCCAGGGGCCGAGGCGGCCACCACGCCCCATACTGGCGTTTCCTTCTCGGCCTCCGAGGGACCGGAGCCCGCTGTCCCGCCTCATGGAGCGGGAGCCAAGGGTGTCGGACCGGCGAGAGAGTCCCACCCTTCCCCCCCCCCGCTCCCGTCTGCCCACACGGCGGCCCGCGCCCTAGGCTGTCCCGAAACGGCCCTCGGCTGCGGACGTCGGCCTCACCATCACCCCAAGGGGCCTCCCTGCCGAGCGGGGGCCGCCGGCGAACGTCCTCCCCGCCGGCCCGGCCCCCACCGGCGGGCTTCCCCTGGCTGGTCGGGGTCCCCGCTGATTCCGGCCCTGGGGACAGAGGTCCCGCTGGCCTGGGCGTTCCGTGAACTGCAGAGCGCCCCACTGCGGTCCCTCCCCGGGGGGCCTCCTCCTCCACCCACGGGCCCTCGCTCGCTGCGCCCTGGGCCCGGTGGCCCGAGCCCGGCGCCGTCCAGGCTGCCGTGGCGGGGAAGCTCTCTGTTCGGGAAGGTTCCAGAACGCCCAGAACACGTGGCTCCAGAGCAAGCCCGTGGCTGCGGCCCGCTGTGAGGAGCTGGAAAGGAAGGGTGTTGCTGGCAGTGACCTTGGAGCGACAAGCCGCTTTTCTGGGGTCATCACAGCGACCAGCTGCAGCCCACCCCGACTGAGGGTCCTCCGGCCGGTAAGGGACAGAGTCAGGTCAGCCGCCGGGACCCTCGATACAGGTGCTGCAGTGGTGGCGCGGGCCACCGACCTCTGCGGACCAGCTCCCGGGCGTGCCCGGTGCCTCGGGGGCGGGGAACCCGGCGGGGGGCGGGGCGACGCAGCGCAGCCCCGCGGCTCTCCCCATCCACGGCTTTCGTTGGCCTCTGTGGGCGCGTCCGGTGGTCATCAGGCCACGGCGAGAGCAGGGGGGCGGGCCCGCACTTCCGAATCCAGAGTCCTGGTACCTCAGGGCGACGCGGGTGTAACCGGGAGGCTCTGAAACACAGAGCGCGCCTCCGTTCCAGCCCCACGGCCCTGCGTCCGCGGCCCCCGCCCGTGGTCGCGGCAAAGACGGCGAGTCCCAAATCAGCGTCGCGTTGAGCAAACAGCATCGCTCCCCTCCCCGTGGGTGAGGAGCCTCCGCGCGGCCGCGGGGGCCGGGAAGAAGCGGTCGGACCGCCCAGCTGCCCACGAGAGCGGCGAGTCAGAGGTCCCTGCGAGTTGAAATCCCGCCTCACTGCGCGTTCGGGCGCAGGGCGGTCTTGGGCGCCCTCAGGGCGTCCCAGCGTGGGGCAGGACCTCTGAAAGACGCGGAGCGCGGCACCCTTTATTCTTTAAAAACGCAGATTTTAAGTGAAAAGGCAAAACATGTGTGGTTTAAAGAAACACAAAGGGGCCCCGACTCGAGTGGCTCCGTGCGTCGGGCACCGTCCCACAAAGTGGGATGTCGCAGGTTCGGCTCCGGGCAGGGCCCGTGCCGGGGTTGCCGGGCAGGTCCCCCGTTGCGGCGCGTGTGCGGGGGAACCGATCGATGTGTCTCTCGCACATCGATGGTCGTCTCCTTCTCTCTCTCTCTCCTCTCTCTCTCTCTCTCTCTCTCAGAATAAATAAATAAAATCTTACAACAAAACCCAGCACCGCGTACAAGGGGTGCACAACGAGAAGTCGCCGTCTGGCCGTCTCTGGAAACCGCACGTCGCGGCTGGGACAGAGGCAGCCGGAGGCCGACCGTCCGTCGCGTCCCCGGGGTCCCCGTCCCGCGGCCGTGGCCTGGACGGAACAGGTGCCTCGTGCCCCGTTCAGCGTGCAGGGCCCTGCCGGCCGAGGTGGAGCGTGAAGTCACCAAGGCCCAGCGGGCGAAGACCAAGGTGGGCGCCTTCCGAACGAACCCTGACCGGACGCGGGAGAGGACAAAGGTAGCAGGAAGGAAATTCTGTGTCAGTATAATTGCGGATATGGGCAATTACCAACCGTTTATCCAAACAGCAGTTGGTCTTAATCTTCTAACCTTTCTCTTGTTCAGGGTATCAGCGCTAAATTGCTTCTGCGTCCTGGGGGACTCAAAGTAATCTTTAAGCTTGAAATTGAAGTCTCTCTCCCAGCACCTAAATTTTGTCTTGTCAAGTCGGAAGACGTTCCGGCGCTGTTGTTCATCAGGATAAAAATAGCCCTTCCATGGTTCCCGGGCGAGGCCAGCAGGGGGCCGCCTGGCGACGCTCGAAGGCGGAGCCCCCCTGCAACTGCCCCCCAACGTCTGCAGAGATGCCTCATGAGGTCAGGATGCACGAAGCACCTCGAGGACCGACTCGGGCACTTGTCCTGGGGACAGGAGAATGTCCTTCTTCCTTGGGGACAATTCAGAGAGGCGCCCCATTCCTGAGGCGTGGGGGAGGGGTCTGAGAAGTGAGGAGGGCGGGGTGGGGCCCCGTGACCTCGGGCTCCCGTCTAGGCCGCCCGCCCAGCACGCAGGCGGTGAGTCCTCAGACCAGGCAAGCCCAGGTTGATGTCGTCTTAGGCAGCACACCAAGTGGGCAGTTGCCACACGGCATCACCCGTCTGGCTCAGAGCGAAGCGGAACTGGCCTCGCATTTCTTCCTGTTTTGTCCCAGGCGGGCTGCCTCCTTCTCTGCCTCTCTCTCTGGAATCACCCTTCCAAGGGGATGGGAGTCAGGGTCGCCCACCCCTCGTTGGGGGGCTAAGCATGGTGTTTTCACGCGTCTGGGTTGGGAGAACTTGCGGGACGGTCCTCTCTGGGTGGGCCAGGGTGAGGAGCGCCGGGGTGTCTCCTGAGCTCGCTGCCCCCAAAGTTACACACCAGGACAGACTGTTGAAACTGCTCCTTCGCGGGTCCGCGGCAGGTCTCCTTTCCTGCCTCCAGGTGTCCCCGGGTCCGCGTGGCCATGGTGACCTGCAGGGAAGGAGCGGCCGAGGCCCCAGGCCCGCGGCGTGGGATCCCCGGGTCAGGCAGGGCCGGGGAGGGGTGCGGGTGGGCCAGCGCGCTTCCGGAGCACGTGCAGCATTGCTAGGATGACAGGCTGGAGGGGAGGTGACCCACGGCTCGCGTGTCTGGCCCAGAGGGAGGGGGCCGGCCCTCTCTAGAGGGAGGAGGGACAGAAGAGAGGAGCAGGGGGGCCGGGGTGGAATGAGGGTCCCGGAGGAAGGCCCAGGAGGAGGAGGCTAGAGGTCCTTTCCTGAGGACCAGCTATAGGACAGGGAGCCTGTCATCAACGCCGTGTCCTGGCAGCGAGCCGCCCAGTTTTCTGATGAGAACGTGCGGAGCCGGTTGAGCGGGCGGCCCGCGCAGCTGCTCTGGGGGAGGCTCTGTCCTGCGGCCGCTGCCACCACTGCCCGCTCCAGCACGCGTGGGCTCCGCGCGGAGGGTGGGGGGCAAAGACACGCACAGTGTGGGCGGGTGGCCGCCCGGCGGGGAGAGGCCTGCGTCCTGCCAGGACGCGGCCGGCCAGAGGGGACAGTGCACGTCCCCTGCCCATTTCGGCCGCTTCTCTCCCTTTCCATCTGTCTCCCTGGGAACGGAGGGACGCGCGTAGCCACACACGGGCCCTCGCGGCCGCGCTCCCGTGTCCGGGCAGGGCCGCTTCCCCCACGCCCGTCTGGCGCGGCGGCGGGTCCCGAGGGCAGGGGGACGGCAGGGGCCTGTGCCCCGCTGCCCCAGGCTTGGCCTTGCTTGGCGAGAAGGCTCAAGGGGGCTGCTGTGGTGTGTACCTCCTGCCCCAGGGGACACACGGGGAGGAAGTGGCCGCGCCCCAGCTGCTGGTCCCTGGGTGCCTGGCCCTGGGACGACACAGGTGCCGTGGGGACAGACGCCCGAGGGGGCCCATGGGTGCTCCAACCGCTGCCCACCTCCTACCCTTTCCCCCATTTCCCCCCCGCCTGGAATTTTCTCCCCTCCACACACTCAGCCACCAGCAGGCAGCGCTGTGGCCCCAGCAGGAAGCCGGGGGGACCCCCAGGAGCCAGCGGAGCAGCAAGCTGAGTCCCACACGCTCCCCGGTCCCAGCTGGGCCCCTGGCCCCGGCTGGCAGGGCCGACTCTCCGACTCTCTGAGCCAGGACCTGCCCCGGGCCATGTGCGGGATCCGGGTCAGCGTCTTGGGCCACCAGCCCAGGCTGCGACTGTCCCCTGCGGCCAAGCCCTCCGCCCCCTCCGCCTGGGAGGGCTCCGGAGAGGCCAGGGCGGAAATGCAAAGCATGGGGACACGAGCAAGCGTTGGCATGGTGTGTGTGTGTCAGAGTGCACACGTGTGTGTGCGCACGCGCACCCGTGATCGGCGACCATGTGCGGCCCCAGGGAAAGGCACGTTTCTCCTGGGCACAGGTGCCAGGCGCTGCCTGCAGGCCCGGGGGCGCTGCCCAAGGTCCACGTCGGGGCTCCGTGCTGTTCCCGGTGGGGCCAGCAGGGGGACCTTGTCCCCAGGGCTCGGGTCCTGGCCGGGGCCTCCACAAGGGGTTAAGACCCCTCCCCTGGCCCAGGCCGCGGAGATAAAACATTCAGGCGGTCCCCTGGGACGTGGGGGTGGGGCGCAGGGCCGAGCAAAATTAAAAGGGAAGGAGACGATTTTGAATCCTTTTGGCGGGTGTTGGAGCGACGGAGGAAGGACGAGAGGAGCCGGGAAGCTGTCCCACGGGACCGAGCGTGAAGGACGGCTGGCCGGCCGCTGGGAGCAGGTAATTACAAACCGCTCAGCGAGAAAGCGAGCGGACCCCGCAGGGCTGGCCCCCCTGCTCAGAGGGGCCCGGCCTTCACGGCGACGGATGCCCGGCCGGCGGGTGCTGGGGGCGACGCAGCGCTCGCCTCCCGGATGTGGGGCGAGCCCTGGGCCCTGGGGACAGCGGCCAGGGTGCCCATCCGTCCTCCCTGGTTCTCCCCACGCCCGGGCCTGTCTCTCCGGCTATTAGCGGGGCGTCTGCCGCCCGGTTGGGCAGACACTTAAAAATGAAGCGAACCAACCTCCGCTTGCCTTAGGGACCCTTTCAAAATTGGCACCAGCGTTTCCCCTCTTTCTCCAAGGGACACGTTCCAGGAACGACCAGAGCACATTTCATTCATGGGCCACCTAAAAGCCTGCGCGGCCCTGGGGGGAATGGGCTGGGGGTGGGAGGGGCTGAGAGCCACAGAGGCCTCTCTCTGGCGTTCAGCAGGCCAGGTTCAGCAGGCCAGGTGACGGCCATCGGGCAAAGCCGGGAGGCCCCATTTCTGCGGTCCCTGTGCGTGGTGTGTGCCGGCGGCCCGCTCACCACACTTGCCATTACTCCCTGTGGTTTATTCTCCGTCCCTCTCGCAGCGGTTCGACGTCCCTAGAGGTGCCCGGCTGTTCTTTATCTGAAAGTACGCAAGCCAGCAGGGACGGCCTCTCAGAATTTCTGGTGGTTATTGAGTGACAAGGGGGACGTCAGCGTCGTTTGTTTTCTGACGGGAGACTGAGGCCGGCAGAAAGGAAGGGGAGGACATGAACTTCCGACCTGGTTGGTAACGCGCGCCCAGGCCGGGGCAGGCCCACCGCCCGCCTGTGGCCTGACGCTCCATCAGCCTGGCCGGCTGCCTGTTTCCGTGGGGGGGGTCGTCTTGTAGCGATAGTGTGGGTTTGGTTTTCTTTTTCCAACACAAATTCTCTTCAGTTGGATTCAGGAAAAAATTCCCAGCCGCGTTTTTCGGAGGAAAAGGTAGGCAATACGATAGAAAGCAATAGCACCCAAAGGTGTCCTGGATCCGAAATAGTGAAAGATTCTGACTTTCAAAGAACAATAAAAATAAATAAATGATCCAGAGGAAGCAGCAGCCCCCAGGGCCGTCCACACACATAACCCTTTCCTGCGAGTGAACAGACGGAATGTCCTTCACTATAAATCAGCGACAAAAACAAAATAATCAGGCTGAACGTTCAGGACCAAATGTTCGTTCTTTCCTACTTTTCAGCCTCCTTTTTACCCGCGGAGTCCCCCGCGGGCCGTTGATTGAGGCCACCGCCTGGGCGTTGCTTTGAACAGGTGCTGAAACACAGCCTGCTCGGTGTGCACAAGCTGCCGTCGGACCCCACGCTGGCGGGCTCGCGGGCTCCCCCACAAAACGCGCAGCGGGCGTGCGGGGCGCCCACCGCGAGGAGCCCGCGGGTCTCTCTGCAGCCTGTTGTCAGGGCTCCAGACGTCCGCGGTCGACAGTCTCCAGGGCTCGAGGCTCTTTGACCCCCAGGGAAGGGACTCGGCAGAAGCCTCTGTCCCCGCTTCCGAGGAGCCTCCCAGAATTCTGTCCCCGCCGCTGTCACCCGTGGGCATGACGTCCTGCTCCGGGTTCCTGCCGCCATCTGCTCGCTGGATGGAGCCCCCAAGGCTCCGCCGAGCGGCTCTGAGGGCATGCAAACGCAGATACGGAATGATCTGGATGGCGGGCACTCCACCACGGGACAAGGAAGTGGCGCAGACGCACAGGATGAGGGGCAGGGTTTAAGCAGCCGGATGGAGTTCCGGGCCGCGGCCAGGGCGTCCACGGGGGCTGCGTGCTCGGCAGGCCTCTGCTACGGTCCCAACACGTCGTTCACTTTCTGAATGTTACCTGAACCTCCCCCGGTAAATGTCACGACTGTCTAATTACCTCCATGGTGAGTTCACACCATGGCGAGAGGAAGAAATTCTCTGAATTCAGCTTAAGAGGAAGCACCGAGGCCGCAGAGGGACGCCATTCCTTGGATTTCAACTTTGAGGGATAAACATCGGTCCTGGCCGGGTAGCTCCGTGGGTTAGAGCATCGTCCCTGTTGGCAAAGGTTGTGGGTTCAATCCCCGGTCAGGGCACATACAGGAATCAACCAATGAATGTGTCAATAAGGAGAACAACACATTGATGTTTCTTTTTCTCTCCCTAAAAATCAATGAAAAAGTAATAAACATCAGCCCTGGCTGGTG